ATATATACATATATATATATATATAAACCAGTTCTAGTTCCTCTACCTTTTCTCAAACCAAACTTACAATGAGCCAGTTAACAGACTAATTCATGTAAGGACTACACAGTTCATCCACCCACATAATCCATCAGTCTAGGAACACTGACAGGAAATCTATAGGGACTATGGAAAGAAATTTAACTGATGAACAGAATTTTGTCTAGGTCATAAACTGGAGTAAACTGTTCCGTCATTTGAGCACACAAACGTAACTACGTAAAGGGAGTTCTACAGTTGAAAACTTGTTGTAACTAGTCACTATTACTGTTTTCCCACAAAGCTTTTCTGCTGAAAGAGCAGCATTTGCATGTAATGGACGTTTATTAACTTCAGGAAGCAAGCAGCAGTTCACAGAGTCAGAGCACTTGTGGCTCATGTTTCCCATACCAGCAAAAATATTTACTAATCTTTCAAGAAAAAGGTTTTGATAACATATCAGTGAGTAGAACAGCAACAGCAGGGGTGCGGGGGAAACATTTTATCCAGCCTGTAACAATCAAATATGCTGAGCAAGTGGTAAGACATCTCAGTGTACAAAACCAGCCAACTGAAATTCAAGGAATAGCATGTTTCCAGAAACTCTCTCGCCTACTGGGAAGCAAGATCATTACTTGCTGTCAGCATGACAGAGCAAGACAAGCAACTGAACAACCTGCCATTTAGTACTGAAGTCAGCAGCAGAAACCCAGCACATTTATAGATCTCTTTTTGCTTTTGCTATATACATGTCTACTTGTAGATGAAATACTACTCTACTGACCTTATCTACCCAGGCATATAGCAACTGAATGGATGAAGCGACACACGCTACTTCCTGATGAAACAGATATCGGTTGCTCTAAGACAGCCTGGAACCACTCACCCTTTGCCATATCGGTCTCTTACTCTGCACACATTACCATCTTCTCCTCTCCTTCGTCCTTTCCTACCCAGGCCACGTTTTCCTTCCCCACCAACACTGGGTTGTAGCAGCAAGCCTTTTCCAAGGCCAAAACAAGCTGTTCACCTGAGGTTTCACCAGAGTCTACTGGGCCCAGTTTGCAAGGTCACGAGATAGTCCCACATCTGAAGGTTTCCTGAAGACTCTTGCTCACTGACTGAGCATGTTCTGCTCCCTAGGCTGAAGTCTGCTTTTAAAAGCACACAAGTCTTACGTGATAGGACTATGTGAAGATTATTTCGCAGGAGTAAGCAACATCACAGGGACTGACATGCAAACTCTTGGCTTGCCCCTCTGCAACAGTCTTCCAAAAGACAGCACCGTCTGGTAATAAATCAAGTCCAGCTTTAGCATTGGCATTAGTGGCTGGCCCACTCCACCCGTAAGAGAAGCATGGAATAAAGGAGGAGGGGGTACAGTACCACAGGCTAAAAAGTGACTGCAATAAACACATGGTTGAATACTAAAGAATTTGAATAGAATGCAAAATATCCTCTTACTTATTCAGTTCCTTTTATGAGAATGTCATATTCCTCTCTTCTCACACAAAATATTGTGTATACAGGTTTAAAAGAATCTTTTCTGTTAACTTACAGAATAGAAGAGTGAAAGCCTTTCAATAGGGAACAGCAGTTGGAGAAAGTACTGCTAATGTTTAGATCGTGAGCAGAGATGGCCAATAGCATCCTGGCTGTATTAACAAGAGCACAGGCAGTAGACTGTGGGAACCGGCTATCCCTTCTACTCAGCACTCATTTGACCACATGTAGATACCGCATCGCAATTTTGTTCCCAGCAAAAGACAGACAGATAAACTGGAGCCAGTTCAGCAGAGGACGACCAAGATAGTTAGGGCTGGAGCATTTGCCCCATGAGGAGAGGGGCTGATGGAGAGGGGCTTGCTCAGCCCGGGGAGGAGACTGCTTCAGGGGCACCTAACAGCAGCCTATCAGTACCCACAAGGAGGCCATCAGGAGAAGGGAGCCACAAGACACAACAGACGTAAAGTGAAACAAGGGAAGCTTGGACTGGATATAAGGTAAGCTGATCCTGCTTTGAGCAGGAGGTTAGCTGGAGATCCCCCTGAGGTCCCTTCCAACCTGAATTATTATATGATCGTTTACCGTAGATATACTTTGCTTCAAGTCCTCAGTCACAGATATCAGACTACTTACCTTCCTAATCTGTAACCATGTCCAGAAAAGGGATGAAACATTGGCTTTTTTGATGATAAATACATCTCATCTTTCTTATCTTCCACTTTCACATCTACCTCCTCCTTATCAAAAATTTTTCGTAGCTCAAAAGGCAGTTCCCTTAAGGAAAAAATACACATCACAAAAAAAATTACAATTTGGTTTTCAGTACACAAAATAGATTAATGATTAATACCTCATTTACGTCGATCCTCATAAGGATTAGGTGTTTTTTTTAAACTCCTAAGTATTTACTAAGAGCTATACTAAGTGCACGTCAAACTTCAAGCTCCTGAACTGCACATTAACTAGTAAGTGAACAATAAAAAACAGACAGCATAAGAATTGTTGAATGATGTTCAAATTTACTCAGCAGTTACCACACTAACAAAAACCCCATACAACGTGCAGTTTTTTAAACAGCATAGCTGAAAGAGAGAGACTTTTACAGAGAAAGGCTCAGTTTAGGAACATACGCATTATAGATAAAACAGGAATTTCAGCTTTTCAAAAATCAGACCATCACTAATAGCTACACTGTTCAGGGAAACAGCATCGCCTTGGTAATGTGTTACTTGCATTAAGCAGAACACAGCAGTGCCTTCACTTATGAGCTCTGATGCAGATCCTACATTTTTGGGTGGTGATACTTAGCTGGTACATGGACTGTACTGGGTGCTTCTCCACCATCAACAGTTATTCAGGAACCACCTTGTAATTACTTAGTATCTCCACAAGAAAATGGTGGAAGGGAGGTGGCAAACTTGTCTGACTCATGCAAACAAAGAAAGCAGAGGACTTTTAACAAATTAATAATTAATAATTAATTGCTAGCTCAACAAATGTAGGTGACATCCACAGAAGAAAATATAGTGTAAAAATAGCATTTTTGAGGGGCTAGTAAAGTATGGAGAAGACTAAAAATACAGGGCTTAATTGCTTCACATATCTGAAAAGGACTTACCAAATTATATAAAAGTCTGTATGGGGCAAGACAACACCACAAATTAAAGGCTTGAAAAATATGCTAGTCTCCGCATTCAATCTGCTCTTTTAAAGCAGCATTGCAACAAATACTAGAGATTACAATAGCATGCCAGCTGTTAACAGTAGGATTGAAGTAAGATTGCAATATGCACAATGAAAATCACAAGTTTGCACTAGAAAAAGACTGAAAGTGAAGGCTGATTCTGTAACATGCAGCAACCGTGCTCATTTAATGAGGGCTTTTCATCAATAATGGGAAAACACACAAAGGCCATAAAAACAGAAATGCTCAACTACTTATGCATTGAGTTTGTTAGTCAAAGTATCATTTGAATGGTAGCTCTTATTAGGCACTGTGACTTATTCTGCATTTTATACTGCACCTGCTGTGCCTCCTCCCAACACTTGCTTTTCTCTGTTCCATCCGCAAGCATACAACTACTGCGACAGAAAACTACTAAACCTGTTAGATGTTGAAACAGCCATTAGCACTGCAGGAACTTAGACAGGCAATGGCCTGCCCTCCTGCAGTGCTACCACAGTGCAAAGCCAAGCAGATAAGTCAAAATTCATCTAGCTTTAAAGCATGAGCAAAGTGCTGTCTAAAGCATATTAACCCAGGCTGATTCAGTACACAAAAGCTCACGTACCCTTTTTTAACGGAGTCCAAGAACTGCTGGTTTGCAGCATCAGTGTAGCTCCTAAGTTCACCATCATTTACGGTAAATCCGTTTTTCCAAAGTTTAATAATTATATCAACCTGTAAAGTAAGAATAATTCTCATTACATCACTGACGCAAGAACAGCTTGATATACCAACACTCTCCTATGTTTTTAAATCCATCCACTGCATGGACTGAAAATTCTGACAGAACACTCATTCATAATCTGTTTTGGCCCACTGCCAACAGGCAGAGCGACTGCAAGAGGTAAGTGACACTCCCAAGTATCTTCTGTCAATCAGAGTTAGAAATAAACCTTCCCCCATCCCTATGCTTTCCCAGGCCAGGTGCACTCGTCCCTGTCAGCATGTACAGAAAAGCTGGAAGATACCAGCAAGAGCTCTGCTTCGAAATCCCATACATCTGGTGTTGGAACAGCAACTACTAGCATAGTCCAGCTGGGTTTATTAGATTAAAGCCTTGCTCTGACCATTCAGAAGGAGTTTCTGAAGACAGCACATCAAGAGCATTCATGCAGAAGCCTTTTACTCAGGAAAAGCAGGAACAATTATCAGAAAATTTTACTTTTAGGAATTATATTGTTATGTTACCTGGAAGTTCAGGGTATATTCAAAAGCTTCAGGTATTAGGAGGATGAAAAATTAAATTCTCAGTAATTCACTAAACTTTGCCAGAGAACTTTCACTACTTCACCTTGCAGCCTTCACACTATTCACTGAAATCTCTCCAACAAGAGGGGTAGATCTGGGATCAAGTTTTCCCATTTGTACATTGCGCCATTTGAAGAAGCACGTAGTCATCCAGGTCTGGCTTCTGAAATTATATTGTCTTGACAGATACATGGCTACATGTATGGTATACGAAGCACATGCGAATGCAGAATTCACCTCAGCTGGAAATTAGTTTGAACTACACTTGGTAGTTCTTGACTTTTTTTTTTTCCTCTCTCTCTCTCTCTCTCTCTCTCTCCATTTTTGCAGTTTGGCATGTTAGAAGATGATTGCAATGTACACACAGCATGTGCAAACTGCTTTACAGAATTCCTTCTCTTTTGGTTGGGTAATCTGTCAAAAAGGCATATAGCACCCAGCAAGATTGAAGTCCTTTAAAAACGTTAGTGTCTCAGGGCACCAATTCAGATGGAAGAGGGTTCTCTTTATGAGAAGATTCCTCTACAGTGAACCAGAATGGGAGTTTACCATGCACTAATTATTCCACACCAGCTTCCCATTTTGGCATTGACACAAGTACTGTTCTGAAACAGTGTTCCATGGCAGCGATTTAAGGTATTGCTCCCTATCCTTCTTTTCTTCTCTGCTCAGTCAGGGATCTAGGAACATAGTTTTCAGCAGTGTCCTCTCCAAATTTCTCCTAGACATTTTTGTTCTGCATTGCCTTTTCTCCAGCCCCTTCCCAGCCTGTCAGGAGCAGCAGAAAAGTATGAAGAGGAAAGGATGGATTTATTGAGATACAGACCCATGCTAAGCATCTCACTATCAAAACTATACAAATGAGAGCAAGGGAAAAATTTGGGCTATGCCTGTGCACAAAAAGGTTGCAACGGTTTAAACAACTTTAGACAAAGAATTCCATATGACAATTTATTTTGTGGTTACTTCTAATACTTTTGCACCCCATAATCAAGCCCCTCTCTTTACTAATAAAGTAGAAGCGCATGAGCCAATACCAATATAAGTTATGTAGATTTTATAGTACATAGACTTTTCCTATCGCTGTCTGACTTCCATGCATCTTTATAGCTTGACTGGATAAGCCTGCTGGAATTCTTACATTTGTTTTCCTGAGCACTGCCTGCAGCGTAGCGTTAAATGCGAGTGTTTTTTCTTCATCACCTACCTGATTCTTGACTGTAGTTGGGGGCATACATATAGCACCAACCTTCTGAGCTTCTTCAAAAAGGTTATCTACAAAATAGTCACAGTTTTGTTCTGTACCATTCAGAATCTGATCATCACTTCCAGATTTACACATCCTGCAAAACAAAGACTTACGTAAAAATGAGCTTGTTGTCTCAGAAAATACATTAGAAGACAGAAGCAGCGTACAAAGGGCTTGTTCCCCTGCACTCAACTTACTTGGTTGTCACAGAACACACAGCTTTGTACTCTGCCTTTTCAAGAAAAGGCTTGTGAATCTCTAACTGATGTCTATTATCCGCACTTCCGAGACACAATATAAAGAAAGACAACAGAAAAGGTGAATTTATCAACGCAGAAGCGTCTAAAATTGGCATCAGAGTAAGGAATGAAAGTTAAACAGTTTGTATTTCTAACTCAAACATTTAAACAAACACCACTGAAAAGCTTTCCTTAAAACATTTTCATGATATATTGGATGACTTCCTTTACCATAATTTAAAACCCACATACAAGAAAATTGCCATAGCATTTACTTCTCCCCAGCCTAAGCCTTCCCATTCCCAACACCATCACACAACCACCATTACTGTCTTTGAAAGTACATTAGAGAAACCCGAGGAGGAGTGACTCAACACCACTTGATCATGTTGAAGAAATACAATAGAATATTTCAATACCTTGGAGACTGGCAGAGTATTAAAAAAGAAACATCAGCCATGTCTTTTATAGAACATTGGATATGTGGCAGCTGCTTCTTTATTACCTTTTCATCAAAACAGAAACATGCAACCTGAATGAATGACTGACTGTCAGTTTACGTTCTTTGCATAGTAAGAGGATCATGCAGCTTTTGATAAACATTGTAGGAGTTACTTCTATTGGAAATTCAGAAAAGTCCATTTGGAACAATTCAAAAATCTTAGCTCTTGAAAAAAAACAGTTTTACATAAAACTCTGCATTAAAATTGAGAAGAGCAATGTTATTTGAATGGTAATTAGACATGTTTGCATGAAAAGGAATTATCGTTAGCAGTGCATCTCTGCAAGAATCCCTAAAGATTAACATCTTTAAACAAAACAAAATCTCAATGACATCAAGAAATAAGCTTCCACAGCATGCTGTACTCGTTTTAATTTTTTAATAGAACAAAAGAAACTTGAAATATTAACGTAAGCACTAACTTTACTTTACCTTAAAAAATATAACTGAAAACCTGTCACCTCCACATTATAAGTGGAGGCCCACAGTGCATTAGCAATTTGTAAGCCTGTCTTTCTATATTAAGTAAAAATGTTTGTGCAGCTTCTTGCATCTAGGAAAAATTCCAGGTATGCAAAAAATCTTTAAGCGCAACAACCTGCCTCTTCTGCAAATTTCAGTTTATGTGGAACAGGTGCATAAAGCAAACAAAGAATCCTTTTTTTTTTTTCCGTTAATTATCGATGCCCTTCACTTTAATCACAAAAGAACTATTCAGTTATGGTGGATAATAGGAAGAGAAATGTTTGCTTTAGCAGATCTATTAGTTATTGCAACTGTATTATTTGAGCAGTGAGGAACCAGCAAGCAGGAGACATGCTAGCTTAAAATCAATTCTTTCATTAACACTTCATTAATTCTATTTCAGCTTGTAATCTTGGATACTTCATTCTAATCTCATCTCCAATAGCATCCCTAAAACAGTTATATTCGTCACAGTGCTGAAATTTTACTTCTTTCAAAGATATACACATTTAAAAAGTCATAGCAAGACACACAAACAGCAATAGGAAAGCAAGAGTAAAAGGTGAGGAGGGGGGCAGCACTTACCATTCGTCCTTCACAGTTTTCATACTGTCTACTTCTTTCATTCTGGTGCTTCTCCTAATTATGGAAAGGAGGCAGTTTAAAAAAAAACAAACAAACAGACAAAACGCCTAACACACTTGGCATATTTTTGAAGGTGAAACACTGCTTACAGTTACTTCCTGTGTCGATAGCACTTTTAACCAGGAATCTGACCCCACCGCCCAAAGACTCCAGATGGTTCTTTGCTGTCCTGCAGTTTCTAGTTTGATGACACATGAACCAAACACCAGTTTCAGACATTCAAAAGGCAGATTATTTTTTCCTAAATGTACAAAATAAATGCCACAATAAAAAGTAAATTGAAAATATATGCCCATGCTTATGCTAAATAAGGGGGAAAAAAAATCACATTCCTTGTTTTTTTGAAGGGTATGATTTAAACTCCTCTGATTTTTGGCATTACTGTCTATCAGACAGTTGCAGAAAATCTGCATTGCCACTGCAGGCAGGCGTTTCAATGACCTTCAGTTAAACAGCGTGCTTTATCCAAAGGTGAAAGATTTGTCAGGTTCATTTTCCCTCTCCCTACCATACCTCAACATATTGCTTCAGCCTCTCAGAAACTGCATTACCATTTCTGGTCTACCATTTAACTAGAAAGAAAATCCTGGATTTGCAAGTACTAAATATACTGCCGGATTAGTCCGCTGAGTTAAAAGAAACAAAGAATGCCATACTGATCTCGTTACACTTACTTCTGAGCTCTCTGAAAAAAGTTATGGAAAGTCACAAAAAGCTAGAGACTCACAAAACAAACATCTCCCTAAAATTCAACAAGCCCCCAAGAGAAAAGAAATTTTAAGCTGCAACTATGTTTGAAGAGCTATTCCTGGGGACTGCTTGGCACAGGTTACACAGAAGAAGTTCTGCTCCTGGCAGCTTTGGGACTAAGCGATGTTACCCCTAGCCTAAGCAGTGACTCCCATCATACTCCTGAAAAAAAGCACGCAAAGCAAGACTAAAATAAATTTAAAAATGGCCTTGCCATCTGACTTAACAGATGGAGAAGTTAGAGGAAAACAATATTCATTTTAACATTAAAAAAGCAAAAAAATATATATGGACATTCAGTTACTCAGTGCTAATTTATATTCCTCAGGAGGTTGGTTTTGATATTCTTTTGTCTTTTAAAGTGAAATCCTTGTGAGATACTTTCTGCAGAAAGCCTTCAGGAACCCCCATAACAACCAAAAAGATTCATTTGTTCCATATGATCATCACAGACCTTGAAAGTTCAGGCAGCCTTCAATTTAACTGTTTCTGTTATGCATTAGGTTAAAACACTGTTTAGCTTATCTTTGACATGTCACACGGATGTGGTACAGGCTTTTTTTTTTTTCCTCCTGCTTTTACAAGTGTTCTGCCAGAACAGTACACTTGGGCAAGCCTGTGCCAGTACATGATTATCCTGTAACCATATCTGATTTCTGCCCTTGGAACTCTGCACTGCACTTCAAAAACATTGATTTTCAGTATCAAGTAGGTATAATTTAAAAGTGCTTAAGAAATATATTTTTTAAACTTCTCGCAAATAAGTTTTAACACTGCAATACAAAGCTCTTGCATTAATGTGCATTTATTCTAATCTTTCACTATTTAAACTTCCAAAAGACATGAAAGCCATCTCCAGCCACCAGCTTCTGTTGATTTCTCTGTGACTTGTCATCAGAGCTATTAAAAGAGACAGAGACACAACAAAGCAGGTCTTCAAATTAATTCTTCTGCTACATTAGGCCAGCCTCAAACGTGCAGGAGTGCTATTCAAAACTGGTCAGCTGTGAAAGCCACTTCCCTTTCTAAAGCACAACAGCAATTACGTTTAAAAGTATTGTTTGTATTCATATATCAAGGTAAAGAAGCCAGATTATGCAGGATATTGATGTTTACTACGACCAAAAAAACCTCCAAACCCACACACTAGGGGACAGAGATCTGTACTGATGTTGCTGGATGAACACCACAGCACCAGAGCATAAGCACTTTGGTTTGGCAAGCCCATCCAACTAGCAAAAAAAAAGAAAAAAAAAAAGGTTTTTTTGCCCGTGATAAGTAGTATCACAAAATTGTGAACTTTGCCTGTGGAAACTAAACAAATTACAGGAAAAAAAAATGTTAGCACCCCAACACAGCTACATCTGTTCATTGTGGCAGGATACCCCTGGCCTTCCCTGGCAGGGATCAGCTGCGCCTGCCTCCAGCCAGTCCTCCTGGGCTCTGAAGGGCAAGGCCCGCTTGGCCAACAGCGGCCTCGGCCCGCCAACTCCTTGAAACGCGCACCTCGCACGTACGCAGCAGCTGACACATTAATTGTGGCAGGTATTTTTGTGCGTCATCAACAGGAATTACAACGCTGGAGAAACAGCAACAAAAAAGTTAGAGGCTAGCTCTGATGCTTTCCTGGTTTTAAAGCGTCGGGATATTAAACCAGGCGGGTTTAACATCCCAACCCTGCTCCTGTAGGTGGGAGCCTCTCTGCTAACTTTAGCAGAAACGAAACTTTCCAAGGCAAGAGTTATTTAGAGCAGAGAGTACCCTACCCCCACAGCACCCAGAAATCACGAATATGACTGCAAACGATGCCGGACCAAAGAAACAAGGGGCTACCGCCAGACAGCAAAGGGGAAAAAACAGGAAAATGTGATTGAACAGCCTAGACCCGACCGATGCGCTCTGGTAAAACTCATAACACCAACGTTTCCCCGCCTCCAGCAAGCGAGGAGGGCTGCGCGTTTTGCGAAAGCCTGCAGCGCGACCCGAAAACATCCCCAGCCCCCGGCGAGGACTGCCGCCCGAGGTGACCCGAGCCGCCCAGCCGCCGGCCGAGAGCCGCGCAAGGCCACAGCGGCTCCCCCC